CTCTTATGTTTGAAGTTTTAGGAACTTTTTTATTACTTTTAATGTGAAACGATTTGTCTTGTGGTCGACGGTTCGAGTTCTCAACTAATAGCTTAAGATTCTCTTCGGAACCGATACCACAATCCCTGACAGCTCTGAGCAAAAGATTGAATGTATATATTGTTAGCGGTATGTTATGAGAGCGCATCCGATTGAATAGTTTAATGGCTTCATAAAGACCCGACTCTTTGTTAGAAACACATCCAATCAATAACATTGCAAACGTCTCATCGGTTGTAGTCTGTCCTTTGGACACCATCTCATCGACCAATTCATAAGCAGTCTTCATGTCTCCCAGTTTTCCAAATGCTTTAATCATTGAGTGGTAGTGAAGAGTGTTGGCAACGAACCCATTGGTTGACATCCAATCTCTTAGATATGACGCCTTTTGAAGACCAAACTCAGGAAACGGACATTCGGCACAAGCATTGAATAGGGCTGTGATGGCCGGTCGCGTCGGCTTCAGCTCATACTTCAACATCTCATCAAACAATTCAAAGGCCTTTTCAGTGAATCCCACTTTCGCACAGCCGGTCATCAGTAGAGTATACGTACACTTATCCGGAGGCACGCGATCTTCGGATATCATCTTATTATACAATTGCAACGCTTTCTTCATCTGAATGGGCTTTTTGTTAATGTATTGATCCAATTGTTTGCTGTAACCGATTGGTGCCATTTTGGGTCCTCTTTTAATCTCTAATTTGTCGTAATTGTCTTCATCTTCGGGTAGATCTTCAGACGCCAGTCGTTTATATCTCATATCATTTACGCCAAGATTGCCAAAAGTGTCTGCAAAACGCGGATCAAAAGTAATCGCTTCTTCTTTCGGCCTTTTATTCACATTTTGAATAATATTTGCAGTGATTTTTGGCTCCAATTTCTTCTTCCTCTGCTTTTCAATGATATTTGAATTGTATTGACATTTGGACGCAAACACGTGTATACTCTGGGATCCATTCAGTGATAGTCTCTGACAGACATCGAGAAGTCTGAGGCCAACCAACAGACGTCGTGTACGACAATAACTATTCATTAATCAAACTCTCAATTAAACTCATATTGAATTAAAAGTCATTTCAAATGTTGTTTAAAAACAAGTGTTGAAAACAATTGACGAAAAGTCTGTTTCAGTCAATAGACGGCACGACTTATGGTTTCAATGTTTTACACGTTTTGTTCAAATGATTTCCTTTTCCTTTTGTTGAGTCCTTTTGGCGTTAATTTAACACAAAATGAAAGTAAATATACCTTTAATTTAATTGTTATTCACTTTAATTTAACTAAATTTAGTTATTATTTAAGCCTATAATTAGCGCTCTTTGAGGCGATGTTTTGCTTTTTGTATTTAAGATGTAATTTAGACAACAATTGTTGTGAACACTCATTGAATCTCATTTTAAATTACTTTTAATTGTATTATAAATGTCTAAATTGATTGTCTGTTTGCATCGATAGCTCAATATCTCATATCCGGCGACCGGATGTCAGAAACTACTGGACATCGATGACGAGAAGAAGGTCCGTATCTTTTACGATAAGCGTATGGGACAGGAGGTGGAGGCGGACTCGTTGGGTGACGAGTGGGCCGGTTATGTGGTCCGCATCTCCGGCGGTAACGACAAGCAGGGCTTCCCTATGAAACAGGGAGTACTGACCAATGCTCGCGTCCGCCTATTGCTGTCGGCCGGACACTCGTGCTATCGCCCGCGCCGTACGGGTGAACGCAAACGCAAGTCTGTCAGAGGATGTATTGTCGACTCCAATCTTAGTGTCTTGTCTTTGGTTGTCGTCCAGAAAGGTTTGGTTACATTTTGATTGTTTATCGCATTTTGTGTTCAATAAATGCATTTGTTTTAAAGGCGAGAAAGAGATCCCCGGCTTGACTGACAACACAATTCCGCGTCGATTGGGACCGAAGAGAGCCAACAAAATCCGAAAGCTATTTAATTTATCAAAAGAGG